AGACACTGTTTTTCCTTTCCCTCAATTTACCACTTTTTGTACTAGAAAATGGCTATCTTAGAGTTCCAATGCAGTATCACGAGTATTGTGTACCTTATGTAGTTGTACAAATGCTTCTTGGCATGTTGTATCCGTTTAAAAGATATGCAGCCTTTTTTCAAACCAAACATACCTAGCATATCCCACTCGGATGTAGGGTGTGAAGAGGGTAGATGTATCATGCATTAGTGAGCTATTTCCTTGTAGATTCCAGGCAAGTAGTGACGGAATGACACTGCAAAAGAGAGTGAAAGTAAGAGACCATGTAAGTAGGAAAGAAAATACGCACAAAGGTAAAGAATAATTTAACCCCCACCCCGTACACCCCTCACCATAGAGCCATCACTCTCGAACCCTGCAAAGAATCTACTACCCAATTCCAGCATCTCCGGGAACCTTTGTCCAAGGTCATGTCCAACTGAAATGCTCTCAAGCTGCCTCACCAATGACATCACATCTTTACGGCAAATGGAGCATAGTAAGCCAAACTATCACAGTTTTGCCTCTCTTTATCAATAATACATGCTACTCCTAGCTCTAGCTGGAAGAACAAAGTTGTATTCCGTCCAGCATGGTACAACCACATGTCCACTTCAACCTCTCCAACTCTGCAACTTCCGACTTCTGCTCACGCACTTTCCTTATTGCACAAGGTGCAACACTTAAACCCATACATGTTAACTGGTGAGATGGCTACCTTGTAAAATTTGTTCTTCAATATTGACAGGGTTCTCCTTTTCAAGTTAGGTAGGAGCAGATACAAGACTCATCATTTCTTTGTGGGATTATTTGAATTTCTTGGGTCTGTGATATATGCGTGCACAATAAGGGTACAAGTGTTAGGAATCCAATACAGAAGCTCCTTTCAACTAGTAACATGATAGGTGAATAGAAATTTCCTCAGCTGAAGATAGAGAAATGACGTATATAACATGCGATCTGACATGGGGACAACATATGCTAAACAAAGTAGGTCACATACAATGAGTTCCACTTCTCAAATAATCCTGATTTTAATGAATAAAGGAGTCCCTATATGACATTGAAGTAGTCATTCTGTGTGGGAGAAGATCCAACAAGGACTAATCTCTTCCTTAAATTTACAGAATGGGGATCGGGACACGTATATGTTCATGAAGTGGCTGAATAGGTTTGAGAATCTGACTATCTGAGTTTATCTTTAACAGTCTGCCTATCTGAGCATTATGAACATACATGCTCTAGCCCGAGCAACAACAAGCCAAGTATAATCCCAACTACATTAGGGTTTGCAGGGGGGTGGTGTCAATATATACACAACCTTACCCCTGTAAAAAAAAGAGGTTGCTTCCTTTAGAGCCTTCATGCACTGTTACATTTGCTGGTTCACTGCCTAAAAGGCCAAAACATCAAAGAAAGTGAGAAGCAAGTGAAGGCTAATGTGCCGTTCTGATGTAGTCCATCATTTACCTAAAACTAAAACATTCTCAAAATGACTCTTTTAGTTCAATTGGACATGGGCACAATGCTCTATCCTGAGCCTTGAAGCAAAATGTTAGAAGTCATAATTTGATAGAGCCATAGAGCCATAGAGGGATAAGGTTAGGGGTAGTTAGTTTGTTACTCTCGTTAGTCTAACCACCATCATTCGAAATTATTTCTATTTTGTTATGTTAGTTGATACATATGGATGATCCATGTACACATTGAAATTCAGCACAGAATGTTCTTTTATCAATCTGTAGCAGGAACTAAAGACCTATATTGCTCTACAATCCTGGCTTCATTTGTGTATTTTCAGGTACACCCATCCCATTGATAACCGAGAATGCCCTGTTGTCCTTGGTGATGATTACATTACAACTGAGTCAGGAACAGGGTTAGTTCATACAGCACCTGGTCATGGTCAGGATGACCACAAAACTGGCCGCAAATACGGCTTGCCAATACTTTCCCCTGTAGATGATGGTGGAAAATTTACTGAAGAGGCAGGACAATTCAGTGGCCTTGATGTGCTTGGTGATGGCAACATTGCTGTTATTCAATACTTGGATGAACACCACTCAATGATCATGGTGGAGCCATACAGTGAGATATACTCTTGTTTTGACTTTTGCCAACATAGATTAAGCTGAATTGTACCATCTTTTTAATTTCCACGTTTCCTCTATATAAAATTTTTGGAAATAACTGTGCAGAGCACAAGTATCCATATGACTGGAGAACTAAAAAGCCTACAATAGTTAGGGACACTGAGCAATGGTTTGCCTCTGTGGAAGGATTCCGAGAAGCTGCTATGGATGCAATCAAGGGAGTTAATTAGGTACCGCCTCAGGTATTTGACACTCTAGACTTATGTAAGATGTCCACTCATGTCGTAGTTTTAAAAGGCATTTGCCTCCTTCGCCTAAGGTGCCTGATACGACCTCATATCGCCTCATATAATTATACATATTATTTTGCCTCGTTTGCCTTTTGGTTGCTCGCCTCTCACCTTAAAGAACACCCTCTCGCCTTTCAAAACTATGATTCATGCATTCTACTACTCCGTATGTATTACTTTGACAATGATCTTTCAGTAATTCATTTTTTCAATTAAAGTCTCAAGTAGCTATCCCGAGTGCTTATGTTTTGAGTAGGCTGGGATCGGCTTCATCTCAATCCCAATTACCAAAGTCCCAATCCCAATTAGAAGCTAAAGATGCTCTGAAATCCTGTCCCGATTATGTGGGTACCTCAACAATAAACAATGATATTTTGTGTACTACATGATACAGAGTATATTATGCTGTTGGGAACTACGGAGTATAAAAAACAATCATAAAGCACGCCTCACAAAAGAACATAATTAAACCAGCAAACCATTAAAATTCTGAAAATATAATGGATTATCGCCCACACAAAGTGTTAGAATAAGTGACCAACGCTAGAGGGGGGGTGAATAGCGTTTGTTCGTAGAAATCGCAAGAATAAAAAATTAAGAACGTGAAACGTAAAGAGCGTAGAAAGCGTAAAGGAAGCACACCAAGATTTATACTGGTTCACCACAACGTGTGGCTAATCCAGTCTCCCGAGAGACTCTCTCGAGCTACACTACTTCCGTTAAGCTTACAGGTGCTTAACAAACCGTTACAACCTGAGAACTCGAGTCCCACGAGCCTCAACAACCTTGCTCGGAGATACCGCACTCCAAGACTTCAACCCGAAGGAAAATACCTTTCCTTCGTACAACCAAGGGAAACAAGCTTCCCTTAACGTGTATACAACACTAAGACACTCAAGAACAAGACTCTCCTTAAGAGTGGATATGAGTAAAATATATACGCTCAAGAACAACTCAAACTTCACACAAATTGGCTCTAGAAAGCTATGGAAAACAATGTGATTTGGATGCAATGATAATATGTGTAATGTGAAGTGAATTGATATGTAAAGCAGACCCAAACACCCCTTTTTATAGTGCCAAAATAGGCTCCAACGGACCAATGCATTAAAGGGGTGATTGGCTTGATTTATGGGATTGAAAAGATTTGGGATCTGCAGAATATTGGCTTCCCATCGATGTTTAGACTCAACCATCGCTGGTAAGCCAATTTTCCTTCA